CAACACATCCGGGACGGTCTCGGCCGACGCCAAGCACATTCGAAGTCAGGCAGCCACGTTTCTCGACCTCCTCAGCCTCGTGCATCGCAAGCTGCATACGTAGGTAGCAACACCCTTCGCCATTATACATCGCTCAATAAAAGTCATTATTCGATCCACGCGCAGTCGCTGCCGAGCGGCGGGTGCTGAAGCAACTGGTTCACACCCGTCGACTCGTCCGACACGAGCCCCACATGGCCAAACACGTTGGATGTTGGCAGCACAAGCACATCGAGGTCTTCGTCGGTCATGTCGATGCACGTCTTCAAGCTCAGCCGCACCACTTCTATTGGAGCTCCAAGTTGGTCGTACAAGATGAGGTAGCAGTCGGCGCCGCGCTGGCTAATGCACGGCGATGCTTTTAGCCGCGAAAGGTGCGCGCAGACAGCGTGGATTGACCCACCGCGCCGACGGACGTTGGCAGGCACGCCGAGGCTGAGTCGCTCGAGGGTCAAGAGCACGCGCTGCTTGATGTCGTTGAACGAGATGGCAGCATAGTCTGCCGGCTGCGTCACGCGCCAGCAGTGCATCCAGCGCAGGCCAAAGCCAGCAAGAAGGGGCAGCAGTCCGAGACCGATCGTGTAGAAGAAGACGCCAGCTGTGATTTCGATCGAATGGTACGACGTCGCGAGCACGTTAAAGAGCCACGAGTAAAAGACAAGGAATGCGGTGCGTCCATTGATCATCGTGACGGGACCCGTAGCAAGGGCCGCTGCAATCGCGACAAGGGTCGGGTCCAGTGGTGTGAACCAGTGCTCGCGCTTGCATTTCTTGAGCAGCATCGACGTACAAGAGAGAAATGCGTAGCCAAACCAAACACTGCGAGAGAGGTAGAGGTATCCGAGGGCAAACTGCCAAAAGTCGTCGACTTGCAGCACGGCCAACATCTCAAGATACACGGTGCCGACGCTTTGCCAGACGTCGAGCACCAAACAGAGACACAGTACAGGATGCAAGAGAAAGATGCTCGTGGGATCACCGACACAAATGTGCACACGGCCGACTTTGGGGTAACGCTGACACTGCAGTGCAAGGCTGCGGTATTGCCGATAGTACCGACGCCACATGACACCGGCCATATAGAGCGTGAGAGAGATGCGCACCGCGAGCTTGAGGGTCAGAGCGGTGACCGACGAAGTCATTCGATACGCTCCGTAGACGATCACCGAGTCGTTGCCTGGCATCGTCCAGACGCAGCCAACATTGAAAGTCGAGGCGAAGAGCTGTGCCTCAAAGCAAGCACTAACCGAATACGACGTATTCGAGATGGCGACACAGAGCTTCTCTTGAAGCGCATGGGGCAAAAAGGCGCCACCGTTCAGCTGGGTCATGAGGTCGACTTGGCACGACACGGGTGGCAGTGGCATAGGGAAGACGTCGCGGTAGATGCTCGTCCACGTTTCCGCGTCAAAGATATACGTTGTGCCGGTAAAGATCGAGCTATTGTACCTATCAAAGGCGCTATGAAAGGAAAGAAAAGACGGGTACGCGCGCTATACTGGCGTTTGGCCGCCTCGAGAAGCGTCGCTTCGACGGTGGTCCACGAAGCGTCGGACGCTTTGAGGATTGGCGGCAGCGGCGGTAGCTGCCACGGGTACGGCTCACAGAGGTATGCTTTCAGCGGCTACAGCCGTGTCATTTGTCAAGTGTGAGAAATCAAGCGCACCGTGAGTACAATGTTGAGGCTGAGGCAAATGCTTAGGAGAATGGAGAGGTAGCTCCATGTGACACGTACGGGACGCGCAGCGATTGGCTGCTCGGGAGCAATACGGGTCGTCATTAGTGTGCGTGGCAGCACCGTGTTATGCGAGAATCCCCGCTTGTGCTAGTTTAATTTTGGAAACACGACTGCGGAAACTGACTACGCTATCCGGACCTCGTCGACGGTTCAAGGGCAGGTGTGGCCTTCACATGGCGTCTCGTCTCGTGCACGCGGCTTGGCAACATGTGTACCCAGTCATGGCACAAGTAACAACTATTCGACTTCTGTGCTCTGGAAGAGCGACGACACGAGCAACAAAATGATGCGAGTGCTTTTGGAGTTCGTGCGACGTCCATAGTTCGACGCGGCCAAAAATGACGGGACCTTTGGTCACGACAACGTGGGTGGCGAATCTAGGTGAGCGGGTACTTTGGCACTTGAACTCTGCGTTCGGATCATCCCGCATCGCCAGACCAGCTTACTCGGTATGGACCATTAACAACATGGATATTCACGTCCACAAGACGCGTTTGATTGAAGCCGTGGCAGAGCAAACATAGGCGGCGCAGCTCTGCGCATGCTTGGCAGCATCGTAGAGGAGCACAAAGCAGTCGCTTCAAGCCCGGAAGCTGGTCCAAGACAGCCGCAGGTGTGGGGGGCATGACCGACCCAGGCATCATGGTGTGCAAGAAAAGAATACATAACACGAGAAGAACGTGAGCCTGCTCGTGGAGAATATGGTGCCGTCGAGCACCACGATACTTTGATTTAATCTGCAAAACAGCAAGCTCATCAAAGTCGTGAAAAGTCGAAACCTCGCCATACAGACCCTTGTTGTATGTACTTCCAGGCGCAGCAAAGTCCGGATAGACGCGAAGAGTCGACAGCACAGTAGGCTAGATAGTCATTTTGCCTTGTCGATCCTAACCCGCCACGCCACTCCCAATGGCTAGCGGTCAATCGAGTCGTCTATTGCTCCACTCGAGCGTGTACAAGGCGAAATGATAAAGTCATCATTCGATCCACGCGCAGTCGCTGCCGATTTGGCTATTATTCGACCCACGGACTCTGGAAGAGCGACGACTCGAGCAAGACGATGCGCGTGCCATCGTAGCTCGTGCGCGAGGTCGTCAGCTTGACGCGGCCAAAAATGACGGGACCTTTGGCCTCGACAACGCGATGTGCCGCACGCGTTCGATCGAGGCCGTGGCAGAGCAGACTGAGGCGGCGCAGCTCCAACGGGTGCTTGGCTGTATTCAAGAGGAGCAAAAAACAATCGGTGCCGCGCTGGCTAATGCACGGCGACCGCTTCAAGCCCGGGAACTGATCAAACACATGGTAGAGCGATCCGCCGCTGGTGTGCGGCACAGGACCGAGCCAGAGAAATTGGAGAACCAGCATCGCTTGGTTCTTCACATCGTTGTACTGGTGCGACGCATAGTTGGTCGGACCACGCCCTACACGAGGTTGTGCCACTTGCGAGATGCCGCTATGGGTACCGTAACGCCGTCGGCAGAGTATGTACTGCACCGCTCCATGCACAAGGGGGAGCGCGCCAATCGAACACGTGTAGAGCAAGACGGCGTACACGCCTTCCGTGGCATGTGGCGAGCTGGCCGCGACGTTAAGGATCCACGCGTAGGCCTGAATGCACAGGCTGTTGCCTTGCAGATACGTAAGAGGTCCGACCAAGGCCGTGGCGACCACGGCCACGAGCGTTGGGTCCATGGGCGGAAACACATGCTCCCAATGGAATCGCTTGAGCACGACCGAGGTGCAGGCCATACAGGCGTAGCAGAGCCACACCTACATCAGGTCTTCTTCGTGTAGCGTCGTCGACGAGGGGTAGGGTCCACGTACACAGCGCGAGAGATAGAAATCCCCGAGAAGGAATGCGTAGATGCTACCGACCTGGAGCACCGCCACGACTTGGTTGGCGACAACGTTGACGCTGAGCCACATGTCGATCGCCAAGCAGAGGCAAATGACCGGATGCAGCAAGAAAATACTTGTCGGGTCGCCCATGTAGATCTTGCAAATTGTGATGTTTGGTAGCCGCGCGCACTGCGTCCAGAGCACTTTGTAGTGGACATAGTACTCGACCCACACCCGCCGAGCCATATACAGCGTCAAGAGCATGCGAAACACGAGCTTTCCGATTAAAAACCCATGCGACGCGTTGAGTTGAAAGGCCGAGTAGAGCCAAACCGTCGTCGAGTCATCCGATGCGTTGCGCAGCGTGGACCAGAGGCAGCCGTACCGATCCACGGTGCCCATCGTCCGGGCCTCAAAGCACGAGCGCAACATATGACTGTCGTTGGCCGCCGCAAACGCACACAGCGCCGCCTGCGTTCCCAGCGACAGGAAGAGACCTCCGTTGACCTGCGTGGCAACGTCCAAGGCGCAGTTGGTGATCGGCGCTATCGGCCGCGTCACAAGGCGACGGTACACGACAGTCGACGCAAGGACATCCTCGAAATAGTTGGCATCGCCGGTAAAGACGCTGTCGTTGTACCTACGACGACTGAGCGCCGGCTACCGTAGATCGCGATACCGGTCGGCTGTTAGCGATAAAAGAAACACTTCTTTCTCGGCCCACGACGAGGCTGTGCGTAGAATGGACGGCGGGTCGCTGGCTTGCCACGGAAACGACTCGCACAAGTACGCTTTCAGCGGCTACGGTGCGACTAGAGAGGTGCTAGGAGTGGCATGCGAGGTAGTACCGTCAAGACGAGATTCGCCGCGAGCGCGACGCTAAGGAACACAGAGGTCATGTCCCACGCCACGACGGTTGTCGGAACGAGCGCCACTGGGGGCGCGGGGCGGATCGCATGCATTCCAAGGTCGTGGGAGGGTGCGTCGACTTGAGTCTATTCTTACTCTGTTCATTTGATCCATTTTGAAACCATTAGGATGCGAACTTGGCAGCAAGTGGGCTGGATTCCACTTTTCCCTTTTGCCAATCGGCGACAGCATCTTTGTCATAGCGAGATGTGGCCCCAGAGTAGTATACGTGGCAGCCTGAGCGCCCAGCAAAGCAAAACGGCCACTGGTATTTTGATGTTGACAGCGACTACTCGAGCCACGGACTATCTCCGTTCAACGATGTGTACGCAACGCACGCGACCATGCCCGTCGCTTTGGACGTTTGGAGCTCGAGGTGGCCAAAGACTTGTGTCCCGCGGCAGCGCACGATTTCGATGCGGCAGTGGTGCGGTCGCGCGTCAACGCTGGCGAGAAGGCTCAGCCGCTTGCACTCGACAGGGCCCGTTGCATCATAGATGACTACGTACGCGTCGGCGCCGCGCTGGCTAATGCACGGCGACTGCTTAAAGTCTGGGTAGCGTGCAAAGACTGCGTAGATCGAGCCGCCAGTTCGTCTTTCGATGCGACCCAGGCCCAGAAAAAGCGCTTCGAGGTGCAACAGCACACGGTGCTTCCAGTCGTTGAACCAAAACGCGGCATAGTACACGGCATTGGCTACACAACATCAACGATCAGTCGCGTTCTTCTCTAGTTGAGCCAACCCGAAGTCGGCGTGCGTCGGCACTGTCGGTGGAGGACGCCGTAGCCGATCGGAAGGAGTCCGATCGAGATCGTGTAGACAAAAATTGCGTAAATGCCTTCGGTGGCATGTGGCGAGTTGGCCGAGACATTGAGCAGCCACGAGTAAACTTGAATGAGCGCGCTGTGACCTTGGAGGTACGTCATCGGACCGACGACGAGCGTAGCCGCGACCGCGACCAGCGTCGGGTCGACGGGCGAGAACGAGTGCTCGATGTGATACCGCTTGAGGACCGCCGACGCGATGGCTAGAAACGCATAGCAAAACCACACCTAAACGCATTATCAACACTGGCAACAAGTACAAAACGAACGCAGCGCGAGAGGTAAAAGTAGCCGAGGGCAAACTGCCATAGGTCCCGGAGTTGCAAAAGCGCCATGATCTCAACACCGACCATGTTGACACTCAGCCACGTGTCGACGACAAGACCAAAGCAGACAAGCGGGTGCAAGAGGACAATGCTGGTGGGGTCGCCGACGAGAAGGAGACACCGCGTAGCATGGGGAAGGTGTCGGCACTGCGCGCGTAGCGTTCGATAATGCGCATAGTAATGTCGCCATACGAGGTACACCAGATAGAACGTCAAGAGACTGCGGTAGACGAGCTTGAACCAGAGAAAGGCGCTCGAACCATGGAGCCGAAACCCCGTATAGAGCACTTCGATGCGAGCATCGTTCTCGAGGCGTGGTGCGTCGTCCGCAAGGACACTCCAGATGCAAACGTAGCCCTCGACTGACCGCAGGACGGTAGTTGCAAAGCACGAGCCCATCGTCGACGCATTGCTGGGTGGTGTAGCAACGTAAGCGCAAAACGTATTTCGGGCTGCTTCGGCCACGAAGAGGCCGCCGTCGATTGCAGTGAGCACATCCACGTCGCAGTTGGAGACAGCCTGTGGCCGGCGCAAGTGCGCGCGATAGCCGACTGTCGACGTTCGGACATCAGTGAAATACACGGCCCGAGGAGAGAGCGTGTCGTTGTTGTACCTAGGTATCATATCCCAAAGTTACAAAAGAGGAGGCAAGCATCATGCTACAGGGTGCTAAAGAAAGCGAGCAAGTGCGCTTCTTTCGTTGTCCACGGTGTGGTGCTCGACTCATAAAGCTCGGGCAGGTCGTCGATTTGCCACGGAAGGGCTTCGCACAAGTAGGCCTTGAGCGGCTAGCCTCAGGTGGTATCTTGAAGTGAGTATTGGTCGTGTACCGTCGAGACGACGTTGAGGCAGAGGAGGACGCTAACGACGAGAGAGCCCGTGTGCCAGGCCACGGGGACGACGTGGTGGGGTGTCGCTGGCCCGGCTGTCTGCAAGGGCATCACTGACGTCATGTCGACGACAAGTGCGTAACGGGGCAAAAATAGCTGCTTGTTCAGTGTAAACTTCTTGGTGCCAAGTAGTTACACCTGGCAGTGTACGCGTGATGACTGGAGACCCCTTGATTTCACACGCCAAAAATGACCAACTCGAAGGATACGAGCGACGAGCGACGATGCGGCTACACGTGCTCGTGAGCTCGATATTAGGCCATTGGCTATACGTTCTTAGTTGCAGTCTTCGCAGTACACTGGTCTTGAGGCTACTCACACAAGTAGACGGGACAACATGAACGCAGTACGAGGACTCGTAAAGTTCAACCCACGCACACGTCTTTCCGCGTGGCTTTTCTTTCTTAGACAATAATGAAAGCTTGAAAACTGGATAGACTGTTTTATACTGTTTATAACAGTGTGAAGCCCGAAAAAAGCAAACACATCAATAGTTTTTTATGCTTCATCTTGTAAGTGTATAAAACAGCTGTACGAAATTGCACTGTTTTGTTCTACTTGTAGATGCTTTTGCGCGCGGTGGACAATGATGACACGCATGAGTATGGCGCCGGTAACGAGGCGGCGGAGACGCCTAAGAGCACTTTATCTCGGACGGGGTGCAAGACGTATCCCCATAGCCACATCCATCCTC